AAATTGGTTTTTGACTTTCACGATTGCAGGCAGTCAGCCTAACAAGAGCAAGAGGCGTAAGGTTCATATAAGAAAATTTGCAACGAGTTCATATTCAAATTTTGGTGATATGGCGCATCAAATCAGCATACCAATTTTGCAATCAAATAGAATAGCTCAAGAATCACCATACTCACCAATTTTATTCATAGTCACACAATTACTATTTACAGCCATAAATTAGAAATAAATAAATAAATAATTTTTAAATATCTATATTACCCCCTCCAATCTATACGCGCAACTTACATCCGGTCTGTGTCTCTTGAACTACTGAAGAGGAAAGAGGCCACGCTTAATTTTAGACCGTCGTTTGAAAGTTCTTCTTCATCTTTGACGGCCAGGTTTGGAAAGATTTCTACACCTTACCTGTGTTCGCAGCAGGACGATGCCGCAGGACAATCGTTCCACAATAACCGAATCGGCGGCCACCTATGTAGCACCGATACGGGTACGCGGAAACGAGTATGAGGATACGACAAAACAAAAAAAGGTAGAATACGGATACAGGACCATATGATAAATATTAAAAGTTATGGGGGTGTATTTATAAATATTAAAAGTTATAGACGTGCATTCAAAAATATTAAAAATACAATTTTATTTTTGAAAAAAAATTACATATATTATCATTTGACGTATATATACTCATTCGCGGAATTGAAGCATTTAGAAATAAGTCAATAATAGGTACTAGTGCATATACTTTACATTGATTTTGGGCGTAATATATTACCCCTTGGGCCTACTCTATATGTACTATCCCGAGCCTATAAAATGTCAGGACCGAGCTTTCATACGACAATACTGCTGCAGCTGAATTGATATGAATATTTTGGCATGTTACCTCAATGAATTTATATTCATTGTGGATAATTTTTTTTTTTTATAGTAAAACAGGAAATTCAAGTGGTCACATTAACATCCTGTATTAATTGTCGTAATTAATTAGCTACCAAGGTACTCTAATGCCATGCAATATCATGAAGTTGGGCGTTTTCTTTTAATTTAGTTTTCTTAATATTCATCTAAGATCATTGTTATGCTCTTAAAACTGAAGAGCTTATAGAATTTAAGCCTAACAATAATAACAATAATAGTATAATAATATGGTGGTTGCTACGGTGCCCATATTGTATTTTAGGGTACAGTACCCTGGTTATGTGGCCAAATAAAAAACTGACACGTGGATAAGCAATATAGTGATCCTACGTTGAGTATGTTCAATTCAAGAAAAAAGGTTTGCACTTCAGTCCTTGTGAGACGGGAATGTTAAACGTTAACGGAAGTTTTTCTCACCGTTTCCTACTATCCACCGCAACCAACGAGACGGCTTCGTCTCTCTCTCGAGAACCAACGAGACATAATCGCGGAAGAGCTCGAGTAACTTAGCCGCTTCGTCGGTTGAGATAAGCGGCAACAACGGCTTCAATCCAAGGAACGAAGGAAACCTAGTTGCCGGAGCATAATCGCGGAAGAGGAACTTAGGCCAATCAATTGAAATTTTCCTGCATTTGATGATTTCTCTTGAACATATTCTAACAAATTGGGTATGTACTTGGTTTATTCATCACATCTAATTTAGGTATAGTTGAGTTTGTAATTGGTAGAAGTTCTATTTTTTTATGGCTAATTATATTGAGCAAATCGTATTGGACACCTATTAATCAATTATGAATATGTGTTTAAGCTCATTAGTTTCATACAGGTTGTTTCCTCCATTGTTTGGATATTTATTTCTCTTTATAGAGTTATGTAGTCTATGACTCTATAAATGACTTCTGTAGTATTAAAGACTAAAACTGTATGTACGATTTGAAACCAGGCATAGCAGGCAGGTTTCCACTAAAACTGTTAAGGGTAAGGCTCAAGCTACCACCTCACTTGATGAGTCTGGCTCGAGCATGGGGAATCAATTTCACAATACGCCTTCTAGCGTGAGTGTTCTGCAAGAAGTGGGGAGGAGCTAAATGAAGGTCTTGTAATAACCAATGGTTCCAGTCTATCCTCAGAGCATGCTCAAGTTTCTGGAGATTTTGTGCCTATTGAGGCTAAAAGAAGGTAGGGTCCTGTTTCACAGTTTCTGAAAGATTTATCGGCCGATGCAAGTAATGATGTCCTTGAAAAGATGGTAAGGGCTCCTGGTACTAGTAGTATTAGTTCAGTTGCTAAAGAAGATTATCAAGACGGGTGTAGCATTACTGAGATTGTTGACATTTTTTAATCCGGAAATCTTTGTGGTTAAGAGGTCCGACGGGAAAGAGGTGATGGCAAACTAGGGGTTTTGAAGGAGAACTATACTTCCCTGTTGATTGACTTCTATGAGAAACTACTTTGGGAGTTCATAAAGGCGCGATCTTGATTAGTTTAGTGGCTGGGGAATGGCGGGGAGTGGGTAGGTTGTAGTAGCTTTAGATTGAGAATACATGAGTTATTACATATTAGTTGCCTTTGTCCATGTACTAGTGCTGTTGTACTTCTTTGTAGCAGGAAGCTCTATTCTAGTAGTAATGTGAGATGAGTTATGGGTCTTTCTGGGAATTATGTTGGATGACAAGGATGGACAAGACAATTCACATTTAACAAGTTTTTTTATGGTTTAAGCTTTAATAATAATACTCCCTCCGTCCCATTTTTATTGTCCTGTTTTACCTTTTGGGAAGTCCCACTTAAATTGTCGCATACCATATTTGGCAAAGTTTGTGTGGCTCTAAATCATTCTTACTTTATTCTTACTTTATCAATTAATATCAACCATACAAACTCATTTTTCTTAATAATCGTGCCACCATCTTCCGTCCCAATATAAATGGAACAGAGGTAGTAGTAATTTTATCAATAATAATAGTAATAACAAAATTAAATAATAACAAAAAGTAACAAGGTATGAATACTTAAATAATAATTACAATGATAATGTTATTATTATTATTACTACTACTATTGTTATTATTATTGGGCTATATGTATTATCTGTGCAAGTATTGGTTACTTACCTCACACAATTTGAAAGTTTGGGATATTTAAATTATATTTCCCAAATATTAAGAATAATGATGATAATGATGATGATGATGATGATGATGATGATGATGATGATAATAATCGGTGCTACTTATGTTATTGAATTGTTTTTCATACCTAAACATATATTCATTTTGAATGTATAACCTCATCGATAGAAGTATATTAGAAGACAACATTTTGAATAATATATTCAACTCACTATTCTATAATGATCCAGATTTCTAAAATACTTTTGGGGGTAATCATCTCAGACCCCTTCAAAGTTCGGGGTATTTTATTTATTTGAAACCTTTGCTTTGGAGCATAAAACCCCTTCAAAGTTTGGGGTAATCATCTCACACCCCTTCAAAGTCTGGGGTAATCATCTCACACCTCTTCAAAGTTTGGGGTAATCATCTCACACCCCTTCAAAGTTTGGGCATAACTGCCACCACCTGTGCCATTGTATCATGCAGATCCATATGGATTTCGTCAGGAATATCCATATTATGAGTTTCATGATTCAGTGCTACTTATGTTATTAAAGTGTTTTTCGTGCTTTATTGAGTTATTAAATACATAGTATTGGTTTTAAAAATAAATAGAATACTCATTTGGATAAAAGTATAATATTAATTTTGATTAAACATATATTCACCGTAAACGTAGATTCTGATCGATTTAAGTATATTAGAAGACAACATTTTTAACAATTATGTAAATTATAATCTAAAATCAAAAAAGTATTTACATGGAGTATGTTTGAAAGACCTAAGATTTTGAATAATATATTCAACCCATTTATCGTTATAGTAAACTGAGGAAATAATTAAAGGTGCATATATCTCTTATAAAACTAAAATAAAAAAAGAAAAATAAAATGTTTGACAAATCTAGACGCATATATATATAAATAAAATAGTTTTTCCAAAAATAATAATTGTACTAAATAAGATTTATGGATAAAAATGTGACTGAAGTTCATATAAATATATTTTCATGGTCATTATGATATACAAAATTGAATACATTTCTCGTCACTAAAAATTACTAAGTCGTCTTTTCATCAACAACAATAATAATCATATATTTGGAATTATTTATACATTAGTTTCTTATATAATATTGATTTTATATTAAAGTTAATTGTTTCCGGTTTTTATCGGTCTGAGCCGGATTATAGATTTTAGAGCCCAAATATTCGGGTTCGGTCCGAAAATTTATTATTCGGGCAATTTAAAAAGAAAAACCTGGACCGGAATTTTGGTCCGGTTTTCCCACCCCTAATTCACACATTATATTCTTTTTTTCAAAGTCAAAATATCATTTTTGTCATACAATTATTTTTCTGGAGAGTTGAGAAATACTTCGTACATCTCTATTACAATAGAACAAAAAAGATCAGGTCCAGCCCTCCCCGGTCCAGCCGCCGTCCGAACTCCGCCGTTTGGGGCGGTTCCCGGTGGAATTTTTTGATGAAATTTTTTGAGCATGTTCTTCATCAAGTCTAGTTTGTCCATACCAAATTTCAGCTCAAAATTCGATCGGGAAGGTTGTCAAATGATTTTTGCAAGTTAACTGGTCCGGAATATGTATTTTCCGGACCAGTTAACTTGCAAAAATCATTTGACAACCTTCCCGATCGAATTTTGAGCTGAAATTTGGTATGGACAAACTAGACTTGATGAAGAACATGCTCAAAAAATTTCATCAAAAAATTCCACCGGGAACCGCCCCAAACGGCAGAGTTCGGACGGCGCTTCCCGTCCCTCCGGCTGGACCTGATCACTTTCTCTACAATAGAATACTACCTTATTGTGTTGTATTTGAACTAGGAAACTTATACAAAATTTAAATCTATGTAAGTTATGTAAAACTCAACCGTGCGCCCACTCTGCCTCAACCCTGCACCCACTCTGCCTCTACTCTTTCCAAGAATTTTTTTCATATTGAACTTTGTTTGGAAAGAATCAAATTAATTAGCATTAATCAGATCAAAAGACAAAGCATCCAAAATACAGTTAGGAGGAACCCCTATCCAAGAATGACTATTAGAGTATTAGACAAAGAACAAGCTACTCTAGTCAACTCATGAGCAACTTTGTTCGCTGATTGTCAAATAAATTTAAAAGCAGTTTTAGTGAACTGGATGCTAATAACCCGAATATCCTCTGCTAAAATACCCACAGTCGAGATGCTTGATTCGTTCCTGATTTCGTTAATAGCAGGTAAGGAATCCAATTCAACTTCCACAAAGTCCCACTCTCGATCTTTTAACCAACTAAGGGCTTCTCTAATGCTTAAAAGCTCAGCTTCCGACGGAGAGCACCTACCTCCTCCTGGTTTGATACCCTCTGCAACAAAATCACCCAAATCATTCCGAACAACCCAACCCAAACCGCTGCCAGCATCATCTCTTGCCGCATCCACGTTGAGCTTGAACCACCCCGAAGCCGGAAGATGCCAAATCTGGGACCGAGGCATTCCCCCCTGCTCCCTGCAATATGCCTTGCTGTTGAACCTGGAGTCAAGCATCCACATAATTCCTTGCTGCCAACATAACAGTAGCTGCACCTAGCTCCCTCCCTTGCCAGACTCTAGCATTTCTTTCTCCCCCAGCCCCCAGCAGCCCCAAGCAATGTATTGAAGTTCCGGTTCTTGCTTGATTTGAAAAACTAATTTCAGCCATCACATAAACGTGCTTTCCCATGATCCAATTGATGCCCAACCTATCGAATTCCAAGCATCTACAACCACAGGACAACGAACAAAAAGGTGCAGCAGCGATTCTTCGCCCTCACCACACAACCCACAGACTTCCGGATATATTGAACTGTTTATATTTAATCTCAAAAGAAGAAGAAATGTGATTGGCTATACATATACAAATCAATTCATAGCATTTGAACATTCTGGAAATAACATCCATCACAGGAAAATAATATTTATTTTAACTTTTTTAATAGAATGAACTTGGCAACAAAACAAAACAATAAATTTCAGATATTAAATGATAGTGTTTTCAATTGGAATACCACAAGGATGGACTTTTTGTGTGACCTATATATCCACAAAGAACATTACATTCCAGAGATGAATGGTATTGATATTTGATATTATATATGAGGCTGTACCAAAATATTACAAATCCAGATGCACACTCTTGTAGGAGTAACTATTCCTAATATATCTGAAATTAAAAACAGAAAGAGGTAAGATCAAACTATACTTTCTGGATTTATTTTTATATCAATTAATGCCTTAGACCATGTGAGCAAACTACAACTATAATGAGATTTTTCCCATGAATAAAAATGTAATATCAAAAGACATGAGTGCATGACCTTAAGTGAATAACAGTACTTTATATCAATCAAGAGAAAATTTATTTACTGTGAACCTATTAGGACAAATTTTGTTCATATGTGAACCGAATATGATATATGTTTATGTCTTTTTTTGTTTCCTTGGAAAAGGACCATATAGATAAAATTTGATGCCAAATGATTTATTGTGGTGTGATGGTGTCTGAGCAAATTGTAGAGATAAAACACATGAGCTGGTGCTTACATTGCAGATTTGCAGGAACCAATCCCTTGGTATAGGAATGTGCCCTCAAGGTCACCTTTTGGTCACAAGCTTTTGGATATCAGGACAACTAGCTCTTCTATGCTACATGAAGGTTATTCCATTAATCATGAAACTAATTCCTATTTGATCTCAGGTTGTAACTTTGTTAAAAAAAATCTAGTTAAGAGTGACAATAGAAAGCATTCAAACATGAAACTTTGAAGAATTTTGTATAACTTCACAAATGAGAAGCTGCAGCAAGTCATTAGTTCAATACTTCAGAAACTAAATTAACTTCTATCATTGGCATGATATATCTTATTTTCTGAATTCCCAGTGCATTCTAACAAAGTAACCACATGTTTCAAGATGGAAAAACAATACAAGAAAGTAATCCTTCAAACACGTTGAAATTCTCAATTGATTGGGCTACGTCCGTTGACAAGTGAAGCCCGTAAAAGCGGCCGGGGTGCTCCTAGGTTGCGATGAAGAGAAGGAAACGCCGTTTCTTCTTTCTTCTGTGGTTGCGGTGGTGAGCAGGAAACCGGTAAGTACTTCTTTGGCTGGGGACCTGCGGTGGAGAGTAGGAAACCGCCAACGGCGGCAAGGCACTTCTTTCGTTGATTGCTGTGGAGAGCAGGGAACGGGTAGGGATTGAAGATGCCGTTTACTGTCCTGTTTAAGGACTAAAGTGCAAAATTTTTTTTTCTTAAATTGATTGCCTCGTCATTATATCTATGTGGTGTATATGTCCACTTGTCTATCTATTATTTGGCCACTCAAGCAACGGTACTGTACCTCTAAAATTGCAAAGGTACCGAAGCAAACACCTAATAATATACTCATGTCCTTAAATATATGCTATTTTATCCATAACAGCTACTAGTATTTTTAACCGCTAATTGTATCAAACATTTATTTACAATAAACTAACATAACCGGTCATTGAGAGATACGTAATCGCTATTGACGGATTGCTAAACAAGGTCATTGTGTACTCATCATCAGCACACTCATGCCTATGTCACCACCGTATGAACGTACATTTCTGTGCAGATTTTTTGTATGACTACTCGAATCGAAACATTACTATATAAGGTCCAATGCTTTCAATCCATTGAAACATCACGATCCAATATTTTCAATTTCACAAATGGGTCCGATGTCGTACCCCTCAATTTGTATTGCCAATAATTGATTATTTAGGTCTGTCGGTGGGAGATTTCAATGTTTTGACCTTTTCATTAAGAAATTGACTAAATTAAAGTAAAAACGTTTATACCAAGTATATTTCATTGTAGAAAAATTACACTTTTATTCACCAAGTAGGAATAATTATTGTCATACATGTAATATATTGCCAAGTATTGTGACTATATATCATCATATTTAAAAATAAGTCGACAATATCCAAATATGATAGTAAAATTTTCTTCGCAAAAAATATGATAATAAAATTTTAAAATGACATTAACTTATTCTGATTTAGGGAAAAACATACGTAGTAGTTAGTAGTACTCAAATTTTGAGATTTAGCATTACTTTTACTTCTAATTTAGTAATTTTCACATTTTACTTTGTGCTTTGAGTATTATATAAACCACATCAAATTAGATAGTGGCTCCGTATTTTTATTAAGAAATTGCCCTATTTATATGATAAAAACGTTTAGGAATTTTAAATCAGGAGCATTACATTTGTATTCATTAATAAATAAGAGTACTTATCTCCTAGCTACTTTGTTTGAAAAATGAAGTACTCTTATTTTGAAATTTTACATACTCGTATATAGTTTTTTCTTGTTTTTACTTGAACTTCCCCTTGTTTATTCGAAGTATGTTCCTTTTTAAGATTTTTATTTTAATTTTGCAACATTACAATTTTGGTAAGTGTTGTCTCACATTTTTAACCTTCTCAGTCTTAGTGCATTTTTGATAGGTATAAGCAATGTTCTAAAAAACGGATTTAGACACCACAAAGGCGGGCCTAGGCATGAGGCACCAATAAAACGCCTCGCCTATCCATTAGGCGTGGAAAAGTCGTATCCAATAATCTCCAGCAGTGTTCAAATGTTGGCCCGCTTACAGTCTTTTCAGACTTTGAGGGCATTTTATCATAAAGGGTACAGTAAGGAAAATGAGTAATTTATAGTTCAAAGAGTTCGGGGAAGTGAAATGTATCTATCCCACCGGTGGGGATAGTTAAGGAGTGTTTGGGATTGCTTTAAAAAGCGCTTTTTAGCTTTTGGAAAATTTAAAATCTGACTTTTTAATTAATTTCAATCCATTTAATTTATTTAAAAAAATCATTGATATTGCTTCGTGATTTTCAAAATGAATTTTTGACTTGGAAAATTAATGGCATTTTTATGCCATTTTATTTTGGAATGTTGTAATTACAGTGTCATGTTTTTAACATCCAAATGCCATTTTAAGGCAGTAATTTTATGAAGATGACAATATCACTTCTAATGCCATGTTTGCCAATGACATATTTTTGTATTGTGAATGCCAAAATTTTACATGATAATGCTATTATTATTTTACATGATAATGCCATTGTTAATATCAAGAATAAAATTGTTGCAGGAGGTGGCAGCAGTGGAAAACGTGGCGGCACCGAGGGAATTAACCTCAATGTTTTGATCATATCAAGGGAATTAATCTAAAAAAACATACTTCACTCTTAAAAGTTGTTGTGCACAATATATACAACTCTGAGTTTTTAAAAACTTTTCAAACGGTTCAAAAGTTAAAATGTAGTGACTTAGGCAGGCCACTACATTGTTGTCCCAATGTTCTAAAAGGTGTAAGGCGTGTCGAGACGGGACGAACGAGCCTTAAGACTTTGGAGCCTAGGCGACTTAGGCAGGGCTTAGGCTTAGGCTTGAAAACGCGTTTTGATTTTTTATCCTTTGTTCTAGTTTTCCTAGAGCTATTTTAAATATTTACCTATAATATATATATTAAACAATGTTAGTCAAAAACATCATTCTTTTCTCATTTTTAACAAAAAAAGAAAAGAAAATGTGTAGTCCTAAATCTAACAAAAACGGAGTATAAATTTACGAATTACACAAAAACTAGAACTAAAAAAGTAGTTTAGTGATATAATATTTATATTAATATAAACAAATAATCCTAATATACGATCAAAATAAGGACAATAATTAAAATGTGGCTTGATAACTTTTAGTGATTATAATTACATTTAAAATTTTCATCGTAGTGAATGTAAGAATATATTTACAGTTACTTTAATCATATTTTTTCGTTCATAATTTTTATTACTGTAATATATTTGTAATATATTTTTAGAAAAAAGCTATAACAAAAATGACAATGGCAAGGGTGTTGATACGATAACAATAAAACACAATAATAATAACAAGAATTTCAACAAAACAAGAATGATATATCGTGGTATAATTCCAGGAATATATCGATAAATTATATCAAATAACTGTAGGAATTCTAACGAATCAAGAATAGAGTTCGAACAATCATCTTCTTTATTGAGAATTGAGATGAGACAGAGTACAGAAAAATTCATCAACAAGCTACCCATTCGTATCTGCTAGGCTTTCTATATATACAACATGTAGAACGAATACAAGTATGGAACATCATAATGTCATCATTTAGTGTTAAGCTACACAGTTTTGGTTGCAGACTTTGGTGCTGGAAGGTGCAGTGGGAAAGGGAGAAGGGCATTTTCAGCAGTCTTGGTGGCATTTTTATATTGTAATTTGGGGTTGCCTTTTACTTGGGTGGTTGTGACTGTTACGAATATGTAGCCGGTAGCATTTGTAGGCCATCTTTTTCAAGAGAAATTACACCATAATGATGTCAAGAAAAATTTTAAAACAAAATAGTGGCTTAAGAGAAATAGTCCATAACTCCTCTTTTTTGCCAACCTAAATTTGCTGCGCCAAAGAGCAAAAAAAGTAAACAAAGCAGGGACCAAGAAGCCTTCTCCAATATACTTCTTCTTTCACCTCAATTTCTGTCTTTCAAGATTTTCCAATACACTTCTTCTCTTCACCTCAATTTCTTTTGTACTTTGTGCTTCTCAGATGTGTGTATTTTCTTTGTTTTTAAATATTTTGAGAGTGCGTTCTATGGATTGCTAATATATAAGTATGATATGTTTATTTCATTAGTTTAAAGCTCAAGCCGGAAACGCACAAAGATGGATATAAGGTAGGTTGTAGTATACTTCACCTGGTTCCCAAGAGTGATACCTGAGTACTTGAAATCTGGTCAAGGGTACAAGGGGAATGTACTTTGACCCTAAAGTCCAAGGAAATCCAATTTCAGAGAGGGATTTCACCTTATTAATGAGAAGAGAATAAAATTCTTATCTTTTTCCGTTATACATGAGTTATGTTTTTGAGCCAAAATACTAACTCACAGGGGCGGATGTAGCATTTGCGTTGAGATGGGGCCAAATTTTAATTAGCGATACATAATTTATTTTGCAAAAAATGTTACAATTACAAGATTTAGTTATATAATTTTATAGAAGTGTCAAAGAAAAAATAATAAATATTACAAAACCGAAAATTTAATTATCTTAAAAGAGCCATAGATATCTAACCGAAATTGGCTCGCGTCGGTTAATGACATGTTCAATACCAATTTTCAAATTGATTTTTTGAAATTCAATTTCTTTTGACTTCATACTCTATAGTCTTTGCTTTATGTAAAAAAGTAAACTAATTAAATTTAACCTACCAAGCAGAATGAATTGAACTTATTAATTTTTCAAATCAATATTCAATTGTCCAATGATGTGAACTAATTAATTTTTTAGACTAATATTCGAAATTCTAATGAATCGAATTAAATAATTTTTGAAGCTAATATTCAAAAGCCAAATGATTTGAACTAATTTTGCATACCAGTTACCAAAAGTCCAACAATTTGGAAGTGTATCAAAAAATTTACTCATGTTGCATTGAAAAATTATAAATATGGTGCCTTATAAACATACAATGTTTGAAACTAAAATGTTAACTGAACACAAGAGGAATGGACAACATCACTGAAGAGAAAGCATGGAAAACAATATGCCTTATGTGTTGTTATGTGTTGTTGGAGAGTATTCCAACGAATTAAATTCATTGAACCAATTGGCTTGAAAACGACGTATCCTATCTTTGTAAGCTTGGTCTTTGTAAAAGTTCAATTTCGGTTGATAAGGTCCAAACAACAAATAAGATCGTCTATTTCATCTCTTTTCTCTAACGGCCTTATCGTTTTGCGTTTTCCCGGATCCCTCTTAATTTCAAGTGCATCAAAAACTACTTCCTCTTGAACACAAGAGATATTATGAGTTTTAATTGAGACATTTAACTCTTGTCTACTTTGTGTGCTTGTACTAGGCTTATAAAACGAACGCAGTGTGATTTTTATCCTTTTAATTTGGAAGTAGATTGAGTAGCCACACCTACTAAAATTACCAAAAAAATAAAAAACTAATCAATGTTTTATTTTAATTTATATAATTAATATTAATATTTTAACAAAATTCACAAATAACATTTGACATTTCCTAATTTTCTATTTTACAATTCAAAGCACACAATTACACAAATCAATTGTGACAACAAAGTCACTAACACTGTAACACAAATTAATTTAACAAATCAAATATTTAATAAATTTAAAAATTGTAAAAACAAAAAACAAAGTAATTAACCCATACCTTGGCTTGAAGCAAACCCAAGTGAGGAGAAATAGAAGCTGCCGGCTTCTGGAATCTGGAGTCCAACAGACTGAACAAAGAAGATTCAAATGAAGTTGTCGCCAGTCAACTGAGTCAAGCACTCTACACTCAAGCCATAGGTTGCGTCTCCGGCGAGTCGGCGAGCAGACGGCGTCACGGAGAGTCGGCGGTGCTGGCTGAGCTGCTGAGGCGTGCCACGTGCGCAGTGCGCTGCGTCAGGTGCCTTAACCGGTGAAGGGTGAATGCGTAATTAAATGCGGGAAGCCCGCTGCCTTGGATGTTGCTGCGGCGCATGCCTTCTTTTGCTTAGATTAGAGCCAGACAGATTCATCTTTGCACTGGGCCATCATATTTTTACCCTGGGCCACCTTTTTTTTTACACTGGGCTAATTACTAAAACCACATTTATAATATATACTAGCTATGTTTGCACAGTGCCAAGGGAATGTGCCCAACTCTTCACTTTTTCATATTTAAAAAAGAGAATTCTCCAAATAGAAGTAAAAGATAGACAAAATGCAAAAACAAGAGTACCATGTTTTGAATAGGAGTAACTTTAATGTTAGGATAAGCATACCTCTACCCAACCCCCAACAACTTTCATTAATAATTAAAACATAAAAGAAATAAGATTAATAAATTTATAAATAAATTGTAAAAAACAAAAAAACAAAAAAAATATCAAATAAAATATATTCTGTATTAAATAAAATAAAAATTATTAAAATAAAAATATTAAAAATAAAAAACTAAAAAAATTAAAATAAAAAAAATGAAAAACATATAAAATAATATGTAGGCTTATGCCGCCGCCTCAACAGCCTCCCAGCACCACCAGCTCTGAGCACTGAAAAAAATGGCATCATGATGGCAGATTTTGAGAAAATTTGACATTTTCAAAGAGTTAAACTGTCATCTTTATGGCATTTTCAAAGAAAAATGACAGTTTTTTATATAAAATGATATTTTTTTCTCCGATCGGGGGTGACATTGCTGGATGATGACCGAGGCTGCGGGAAAGACTTGCATAATTTTTTTATAATTTTTTAATGCAGTTTATCTATTTTTTTTTTTAGTTTTTTATTTTTAAGTTTTTTTTTTTAGTTTTTAATATTGTTGGGATGAAGTTAGATTATTTTTAAAATTAAAATGCCTGCATAGAGGTATCGTTTCCATTGAATGAACTTAGTTTTTTTAATAGGATCAAATAAGTCATATTTTAGAATTAGCTAGGTTAGGGATAGTAAGGATTTAATGGTATAAAATTAATGTTTACTCCTATTGAAGGATGTTTTAAGTTTTACTCCTATGTGTGCAATTATGTTTATGTTTACTCATATATTGGACAATTTTTCTATTCAAAACTACCCCGATGGCCGGATATGAAAAAGTTTGTCTAGTTTGAAAGATCTAATTTTTATTAAATAATACTATCTGGAGTAATAATATTAAGATTTCACAAATTCTCTAGAATTCAAACAAATTGAACACTCAGTATTATATAAATTATTACTCCAGAAATGAACTGATCAAAAAGAAGAATCTTACTATTGACAACCTGAAATTCAGTATGATTTTACTGGAATCACCCGAATAAAAAGAACTCATCAATGAATCGAACCCAAAAATGACTCACCAAGAGAAATATGAGTGAGAATCACGAAGAATTCAAAGAAAAAAATAGCCAAAATATATTGAGATCAACAATACCAGAACTTGGATAAGATGATTTTTAATGCACCAAGACAATCGTATTAGCGGAGATGAAGAGCCCCAATCCGAGTGGAGGAGATGTACGGATAAGATACGCAGTATACTTTCGCTTCTTGCGTGAAGGTGATGCTGATGAGGAGATAAAAAATAGACTTTGCACGGGCTTCGAACGGGAAAGAAATTTGGGAAGAAAAAAATGAATATAGGGGACGTGAGAAATAGGGATGACGGAACCGTGTTTTGACGGAAAAGGGGCGGATTTTTTTGGACGCCGTTTAAGTGAGGCTTTATATATGTAGGAGATATATATATATATATAATATAATACAAAAAAAATTTCCTGGGCCAGCCAGGCCACCCCCTCCCTCCGCCCCGGGTTAGGTCAAGAATATTACCAATTAAAATGATTTTGACAAATATAAGACCTTTTTCGCTTATTACTAAAAAAGAGACCATACATATGATCACTTAGTAACTTTAGGAAGGAAATGTCGAACATGCTCCTGCCTCATTAATATGCCTACATATTACTACCTTCGTCCCATTTTATGTGCCTTAGTTTGACTTGGCACGGTTATTAATGATGTGGTTGAAAAAGTAAAAGTTGTGGTTGGGGTTTGAGTATAATAAAGTGAAATGGTGTGAACCATATATTTCTTTCCAAAAAAGGAAAGGAGACACTTATTTTAGGACAATCCAAAAAGGAAAGTAGGACATGTAAAATGGGACGGATGGAGTATTTTGGGAGTATTTTTTATAGCCGTTCCCCATGAAATGCTATAGGAAGACCGCAGACCACAAAAAATGAATTGACTTTTATATCCCTCCCCTAGTAACTTTTACTCCGTATTTGGTTACGATTTACGATTATTTGATCCGGTGAGTTAGAGTTATATGTCTAATTAGTTACACGTATACGCCTCACCAGTTATAATTACTCATCACTAGTTACATTTATTTGTCTGACGAGTTACAGTTATCCGCCCGACCAACTACAGTTATCCGCCGCTAGTTACAATTACCTGATTGACCAGTTACAGTTACCCATCACCAGTTACATTTATCTGTCCGATCAGGTAACGTTACAGTTACAGTTACCTGTCCGACCAGTTACAGTTACTCGTCGCACATTACAGTTACTCGATTGACCAGTTACAGACTTACAGTAACCTGCTACATGATACAATAACACGCGGCACGCCCGACCAATTACACATATTCGGTCGGCCGGTCCGATAGTAACCATCTCCAGCCACCACCCCCGACCGGTGGCCACCACCACATGCCACCATCGCCCGTCGGCGGCCACCACCTCCTGCCACAACCGCTGGCCAACAGCCACCGCCGGTCATCAACCACCACCATTAGTAACCACTGCCGGTTATGACCCGCCGGTGACACCCAGTGACTGACCAACTTGTCCCTCTCTGGCAACCGGACTCCCCCAGCCCCATTCCTCAGGTCCTCCACCATCCCCAACCCTTTCCCCTCACCAACCACAACCCCTGCCCCAACCCACTCCAAGCCCCTATACAACCACTGCCCCACCACACACCAGCCACCGCACACTTGTAACAGCAACGCAGAGCAGGGGAGCAAACCGCCACATCGCCGCCCTGTAGAACCATTGCCCCACCCCACAACACTGTCACTTTGACGTCGCCCAAAGTCGACAAAGATATGGGAATGATAATCTTAAGCCAATTTCAAGCACATCAAAGCCACAGAAGAACAATAAGACGACATCGGTCAATAGATCTGAACATCGAGCGAGGGATTTGAGCTTGTATATGGAATCAGAGACGGCGTGTGAGGGTGGAGCAGCCTGTGATGACGGAGTAACCATGCCACGGGAAAACATGAAACTTTTCTTCTCTACAAATATGGAATCGGAGAAGGTATAGAGGCGAGGAATGGATGGAATCGGAGATCGTAGGAAGAAGAAGGAATGGTTGCAGAGATGAGCCGTTGGTTGTGTAGGGTAATTTTGTCAACGATCACATGTTGCGCCATATAAATTCAGAGTTCAAGACTTATCTTAGCTCATATTTAGCATCTCCATCTAGCTCATAGAGCGACCTCTTACACTAGATACATTCTCCTTAATTTTTTAATAGGAGTAAATGTTACAATTGGCCAAGTAGAGGTGCAAATGATGCTTATGATAAATGTTGACCATTCATTTGGATTGTGGAGTGGTAAACGATGGTAATCAAACTTGCAACTCATATTATTGAGGCTCAAATAATATAATGCAAACAGAAAATGCAGTGAAAAGCTTGATGTTCCTGCACAAACTTTAACATCATTAGATCTCTGGCTTACATTCACCTTTCAGCGTAGATAGTTCAATTAGCGGATATCTGTGGAAGCACCATTAATAAGAAGGAGGGGAAAATGTTGAAATTTTTTGACATTATCCTATGTCGCCCCATTCTTACACATTGATAGTTATATATGGTTGTCTCGAAAATAGCAAGTTCATCAGGATTGAACTTTGTGACATGTGATGAAGATGGACGACCAATCTAGTCCATGTTGAATATTGTATAAAAATAATATTATAATAATTTGTATATTTGCTTACCAATAATGTGGACATACATCGCTTTCACGGTATGATGTTTTAATTATAACTTTTATTATTTATTTTATAGTTTGATGTTACAGTGACATCTTATTTAGAATTTTATTTATGATTTTTACTTAATCAAATCACTATCAAATTAAATTTCTTTTGGTTTTAATTTAATTTCATCCAAATAATTGTGTAGATTCTTCACTCCCGTGCAACGCACGGGTAAGGGAACTAGTAACTATAAATCTGTAATTGGGTTTGGTCCGGTAACTGTAATTAGATGAGTTGGGTAACTATAACAGGTGGGTCGGGTGAGTGACTGTAACTGGTGAATTGGGTAACTGTAACAATTGAGTCGGATAAGTGAGTAACTGTAACTGGCGAATCAGGTAATTGTAACTGGCGGAGTGGCCCGTCATGTAACTGTAACTGACGGCACGTAACTATATATAATTAGCCGGGCGGGTAACTGTAATTAATCGGATGTGTAACTATAACTGGTCGGGCAAGTAATTGTAACTGACAGCGGGTAACTGACGACAAGTAATTATAAATCGTTATCGAATAAATTTAATTAGAGGGAAGGATATTTAAAAGTCAGTTTTGTGTGTGTGGCCTGTCTATTATTTGCAGTGGGAAATGACCAGCAAGAATGATACATGGACATATGAATTAGTTTTCTTCCGTATTAATTAATTAGTGCAGGGACATATTTGGTAATTCCATCCCCAAATTACTAATTGATCATAGGATGGTCTCATTTTAGGCAATTATTGAAAGATGTCCTATATTTGTCAAAACACTTTTAATTAGTAATATTCATGACTTAACCTTTTTTAATGTGTGTAAAAAAACTATAGTTACAAATAATAAATATGGAGTGTCATTTTTATGATTTTAATACGACACTAATTACTAATATAGCATATGAAAAATTGAAAAAAATAATTTTTTTTATTAGTTCCACTACAACAAAATTGATTCTTTGTAATATTTTACTTGTAACACTCTAGTTTTTGTTACATA